AAACAAACAAAATGATCGTGTTTACTTGCCAGAGAGGTCAGCTGAAAATTTGCAACTTCGGTTGGCCATCACAACTCAAAAGCCGGCCATGGTGATGGTGTGGGCCGCCATAACAGCCGATGGTCGCTCGCCGCTCGTATTCATCGACCGTGGGGTCAAATTAAATGCGCAAATCTATCGCGAAAATATTTTGGAGGGAGTTCTGAAGCCCTGGGCACGCAAACATTTCGGCCGCAGACCTTGGACATTCCAACAGGACTCAGCACCATCGCACTCAGCACGCGCTACCCAAGAATGGTTAAGAAATGAGGTTCCTCGCTTCATTTCCACCGCACAATGCCCACCAAAATCTCCGGATGCCAAACCGTTGGACTATTGTGCCTGGGGTATTTTGGAAAGCAAGGTTGGCACTAAAAAATACCAAAATGTCGATCATCTCAAGCAAGCGCTTCGCCGAGAATGGGACAAAATACCGCAGAGCCACTTTCGGGCAGCGTGTGATGGTTTCATTGGCCGTTTGAAGGCCATAGTTCGTGCCAAAGGTGGCCAATTCGAACAAATCTAAACCGATTCCCGACATTTTTTGCTTTCATTCAATAAAATTTAAAAAAAATGAAAAAATTATGGCGTTTTACTTTGTTGCAGTTTTTTCATCTCACCTTGTATATATCAGTTCTAATAAATGTCAATCACTTTTAAAAGTACATATGAATTGATCTTTTTAGCGTTAGACTAAAAATCTCACCTCGGATAAAATATAAAAAATATGGAACTTAACTTAAATATTTTATATAGAACTAATTTTGAGAGCTTTAATTTATTGCTTATTTTCTTCTTCTTTCATCCTCATTTCCCAGTGGAGCATTGGGCCTCGACTTATAGGGAAGTCTATTACGCGATTCCATGGACTATTTTATTAAAGTAAAGAAGTTTATTAAGTAAACTTTTTTTACAAACTTTAATAGATTAGTAATTTAATTATTCTTTGAGTTTTTATAATGCAAATAAATAGGCGACCTTCCTATATTAAATAAAATTCTTAATAAAACTATTGTCAGATACTTAGTACTGAAAAAATTTATAAAGTATTTAAGCAAAATTATTACTATACTGAAAACATTTAGTATACAATATTGTAAAAGTAATATGTACACCTTTTTAAAGAACGCATAATAAGTTTTTATATTAGAATAAAGTAAAATACAAATCAACGTAAATTATTATTGAAATTTTTTCGGAAAACCCCAAACAAACGTTAAGGTCGTTCATTTAAAAACTTATGCGTGGATTACGATTGGAATACTAACAAGTTATGTATTTGTTTTTTGTGTTGTTGTTAGATATTACCAATGAATAAACAATGGCAATATTAATAAAATAAAATGTTAAATAAAAGGCTTTTGCGTCAACAACACAAAAAGAAATCTTTTATTTTTATAAGCGATTATCCGTTTTTGCGGCTTTGAGGGCACGTTTTTGTTTTCCCACACTTTTGTGCACGTAGGAGCAAAGACACTCCCTAAACACTTAAATTGTCGAACAAATTTAGTATTCTTCGACAACCATCATTTGGCCACATGCTAAACATTTTAACGGATTGTTTCGATTAATAACATTATTATTGTGGCTATCTGCATCGATACGTTAATATAAAATTGATAAATAATTTAACAATTCTATAAAAACTAAATATATGTATCGAATTATTAAATATTTAAGAGTTAAATAAATTAAAAGAAATAAGTAATAAATTTTCTATTTCTATTCTATATAAACACTATTGCATTTAGAATTAATGAAATTATTTTTGAATAACTATAATAAAATATTTTTCGTAAGAAAAATACGATGAATCAGTTCGCATAGTTTAAAACAAAGACAATTTTATATCTTTTTTTAAAGCTATACAAAAGAAGTTATTATTTAACCTAAAAAAAAAGTATGCAAATAGAAAAACTTATGAAAATCCCAGTATCACAGTAAGAGAAGCATAGGTGACACACAATAAAACTTTGCTGTCTTATCAACATTCATCTTTAACATATCATTAAATTATTACTACGAATTTTTTCTATAAAAGTCTGGCGACTTTTAAAAGATTTTCTTATACCAGCATTTAATATGTCCAAATACTAGTATTTATTTATTCCATTATATTATTATTTAATTTTAATTGAGCTTTTGGTGATTCAATTTAATTAATTACTAATAAAAACTAATGAGTGTTTCGTTATTTAATTTTATTAATCATAAATATTTCAGTCTCTCATCATCAGCATTTATGATTAAACAAAATTTTTCAACATTATCTATTTGTATGGAATAAACAAATAAACAATCAATAAATGATAACTAATCTTGAATTTTGTATAATTTAATTATTAGAATTTTATATGGTATATATGAAAGCCAAATAACTAGAAAGAATAAATTAAAACACTTTATATTCATTATTATTATTATTTATACATATTATATGTCACTGGGCTTCGCATAAGATCAGATGTCTTTAAATTTTATGCAAAGCCTTTCCTTTTTACAGTTCAATATTAGATTATTTGAAATGTAAAACCTTTTTACATTTTAAGAAGCAATATGCGTCTGTGGTTTTGGGCCTTGTTCATGATTATAACTTCTACGTAATTTCTACCACTACATAATATTCACAAATATTTATTTTTTAATTCTTGATTCATTAAACCTAAATATCGAAGAAAGGATTATCATCAATTTACGTCTTCAAAGTAATTTCTTCGGTTTCAGTTAACCTGAGGTGCTTCATTCTCAATGTCTTACTTATGTCACAAGTATAATCATCAGTTGCTATGAGTGTGATAACTGTGGACTCAGAATATATCGATACAATTCAATATATATCTCGATCACAGATCAAGATACCTGTCAAAGTCAATGTGATTATCTTAGTTTTCTTTAAAGGCTTTGTATATTACCCGTAAGCCAATATTTTTTAAAAAAAAACCTATTTAAAATACTAGTAAACGTTTTCCTAAATTTTTAGTGAATCTGAAAATGAAATTGTGATCAAAAAAGAACGAGAATTTTAATTTTTAAATTCCCGCGTTTATCCAATCGGTTAACTTAAATTTTTCAAATATATAATTTAAATACACATTCTGTCAAAGTTTGACGCATACCGTACGATTAGTTTTTGTTTTGCGTCTATACAAAGAAGTCGAAAAATTTTCGTGTGGCGATTTTTAGCTGAATTTCATTCAAAACAAGCGTCGTTGTGATATGGCCAAAGAGATGATTTCCAACGCAGATAGTGACCCCACATTTATCGAACGCATCATAACTGGTGATGAGACATGGGTCTATGAATTTGAAGGTGAGCCGAAACCGAACCAATACTTTCGGCGGTCTATAAAACTTGTATGGAAAATTGGATCAAGCGTTGGCATGAATGTATTGCCGCAGGAGGCGAGTAGTTTGAAGGCGATAACAAAAAAAAATATTAAAAATTAAAATTTTTGTTTTTTTTTTTAATTCTCGTTCTTTTTTGATCATAAGGTATATGCAAAGCAAAATTTAAATAAACACTTTGTTTAATAATTTTGTTTATTGTGACTTACTACTGAATTACACTGAGTCAATAAGCTACTATAACACTCTATAAGCAAGAAAATGTAAACATAGAAATCTATATGTCTAACTGATAAGATTTAGAAACACATGATTTGGAGTGAAACACTTTAACTACAATTTATATGTATTTAATAAGAAACTAATGTTACCTGTAAGTTGACGTAGCTAATAAAGTAAACCTAATAACGTGTATGTGATAGGACAGTTAAGCCGTTTAAGTTGCATAGTTATATAACATACTTTAAGAATGAAATGACGCAGGTAGCTTTTAATTTTGAAAAACCGTCGACCAATTACTGTAGATATTTAATGAGACCATAAGCAAAAAGTATCAGAATCCTGATACTGTCTGATTTCAATCTTTTAAGACTACCTTAATCCAAGCTTTATGACATATTATTTTATTATTCTCAATTATTTTAATTATCGAAGTATTTCTGCTTTTGTAGATATTTAATGGGACCATCAGCAAAAAGTTTCAGAGTCTTGCTGTCTGGTTTCAATCTTTTGAGACTACCTTAATTCAAGATTTAAGATCTATTGATTTATTATTCTCAATTATTCCAATAATTAAAAGTAATATAATCAAAGTATCTCTTATACTTTGAAAAATTATTTAATAATTTTTTTTCTTTATTAACAAAAATAGGATAAGCCACTTTCCATTTTTGATTTACTAGATTGTCAGAAAAATTATTATGAATAAATTTTATTATTCTTATTATAGTAAATGTTTAAATAATACAACTGTTTAATAAGTGCATTCTTTAAATTTAAGACAAGTATTAACATATATCATCTTTGTGATGTACTAGAATATGTATATCACAAAAAAATATAAATTATGATTGTTTTCATATGTACTCTTAGATCGTATTTTCCGGATTTTTAATAACTTAATTAAAGGAATAAATTGTCGATGATCATAAAAAAATCTTTTTAGTTTATCATTTATGTAAAAAATTTTCCTATAAATGTAATTTTTTTATTGATAAGTTGACAAAATATTTTTCTCAAAAATATTGAAAAATCACACCACAACAACAAGTTTTTAACATCAATATAAAAAATCAAAATTTCCAAATTTGTTTACATTTAGCATCAACACGAAGATAAAAAAATATTAATTACAATAAACAATTAAATTCTTTCTGGTGTTTACCAAATGACTTCGAGCGATACATTACTCATCGCAGACTAAAAACAACATACGTGTTGCGTGTTTTGGGACATCAAAAATAATAAAGGAAATACTGAAAACAATCAAAACAGTCAATAATAATAGGAAATATCAGCAGCAAACGATAACAAATCTTATCACTAATGATAACAAATAAAATGATTCCCAATTATTTTATTCCAAAGCATATAAAAAGCACTTAGTAGCAATTTAGACTCATAAAAAGTTTAATAAGCAATTGAAAAGCAATTCAACGAAAGCAAAAATATTTATATTTTAAAGAAATAAAATACTTCGAACTACAAAAATGGCAATGTGTAAAAGCTTGACAATTTCACTATTTTTGGCTGCATTCCTTATCTGCAATATTTCTGCCAATTCGGTGCCCAGTGACGCTGATGATTGCCCACTTATTTGTCCAGCTCTCTATTCACCCGTTTGTGGTTATAATGGAAAACTGTACAAGGAGTTTAGTAATTCTTGTGAATTGAAGAGCAGCAACTGTCGTTTGGAACGTTCTGCAGTGCAACGTAAGTTGAATTAAGACAAAAACAAGAATTTCATCTTTAATTTTTTAATGAATGGAAGTATGAGTAACTTTTGAACATTTTTATAGCCTACGCACAAACTGATATTGCTTGGTGCACCTCTGATTTGGTTGAAAATTTACTCGAAAAATTGGGCAATCTTGATATTAACAAACCAGAATGCTTTAAGCCTTGTCCAATGATTTATCAACCAGTTTGTGTCTCCAATGGAAAATTACGAGCAACAGTAGCTCATCCATGTGCAATGGACTTGTACAATTGTGCTATGGGTAGTGATTGTAAGTACTAAGTGGAATTCGAAATAAATATTTTTTAACTAATATTATTTTTTATTTATTATCAGCTGCAATTGAACAATTTAGAATCTTACGTGCTGGTGAATGCTAAATTCTCAATGGTGTTTTTTTTAAACTATTTTAATATATTATAATTTTATTTATATTTTAAATATATTTATGTATGTCATGAAAATATCAACTAAATCCATTTACTGATAACTTAAAATAAAAGTTTTTTGTAATTTATTCTACATGCAACTTTTTTATCAATATAAGTGAATATTCGTAAAGCTTTATCAGTAATATTTATAACTGCAATATACCTATATTCACCACATTGATAGCATATTATATCGATTTCACTATAAATGTTTCATGTTTCATTTGAAAGCATACCTTATCGAAAAAGTGTCGACTTAATGGATTTGTAAATATCGAAAGAACATAAAACTTAGTAGTATATGTTTTTAGTGAACATATACTACGAGCTTCAAGTAAAGAGTGTGGTTTTATGTTTTATACTCATATTAAAAGGCACTGCTTTATCCAAACATTTTTTAAAATTTGCAAAATTTATAATCTGCCAATAATAATTTATGATCCAGTCTACCACAAAAGTTTTGGAACTTGCTCTAAGGATGTAGGTCACTAAAAGTTTTCTGGAATGGAGAGTGAGTGTTACAATATCATTATTCACCTGTCACTGTATGGTCCAACCAACGATAGCTCAGCATTCTATAATTTATTTGGACAACACAGTTGTATTCACTAGTAGTCACAGATCTGATCGATTTCTAAGTATAGAGCATTTTATATGCCACAGTTAGAAAAAAAATATACCAGGATGTTAATATGCTAAAGACCCACTTAGAACCATAGTTTGTGCTAAAAACGGTCAAATAAAAATTTCCAAAAAAACTTGACAAATATAATTATTTTCTGCATAGAGTACAGCGTTCTATTAAGTTGCGGTTTAATGGGACCAATCTGTAGGGATGTATTCAATGATGCTTCCTTATGCAATATAAGCAGCAAAAACGAAATTTAGTAGAAAGAAATTGTATATTGGATTGTACAAAATAGAGCAGTAATTGCGATGAATTAGGTTACTTAAGCAGAAATCTCGTTTTTTTTGTTGCTCTATTCTTAATACTGAATTATACTTGTCACTACATTCCGACGAATTGAACTGAAATAGTTGTCTTATTTCTATCTGGAAATGTTTTTAATCTTATCTATTTAAATATAAAAACTTATCCATTTAATTGGATTTGCAATTACAAAATGAAAAGCTCTTGTCATGTATTATTACATGCACATTAAAGATTTAATACTATTAGAACTTTAATGTATATAATAAGATGCGGTTAAATTTATATATGATTTCTTGCTTCAAGGAATGAATAAAAATATATAGACGGCAAAATCTGTTTTCAATATTTACCTAGAAACAAAGTGTCTTTAAACATAACAAATAAAAATGTTTTTAATGTTTTCTATTTGAAAATATTTTATTAATAATTATATTTACTTATTTTTTTTTTAATAAATGCCTCCACTGGTACCAAACTTTAATATATCATCCACAAATAATTCTTAGTTTCCTTTTATATTAAATTTGTATACAAAATAACTTAAGTTACATTCTTACTATATTAGTACATATCACAAAATTAAATATTGCATGCAAGTAAATAAAAAACAATTTACTATAATATAACAATGAGATCCCTGATTCGAATATAAAAAGTCCTATAAAAGCATAGCTTACAAAAGAGCTGTTTGGACCGGAAGTTGTTTTAAAGTTTGACATAGCCAAGCATGCAACAGGTTATCGTCAACTCTATGTTCAGATGTAGTCCAGAAGAAAGTACCGTCATCAGTGCTTATATATTGTACAGGTAAACCGGTAGTACTGGTAGTGTTCACAAGTTCAGCAGCAACATTCCGCGTGTCTACATCATACACATCAGCGGTCCAATTAAATAAGTAATCTTGATGAAATTGTTCATGTTGACAATTACGCCCATAAATACAACCCGTGCAATTAGGTGTGGGTGTCTTCTCAATACTGGCACTGCTGACAACTGTAGTAGTATGCTTTGTATCTGTAACTGGTAGTGCTGGAATGCTTTCCTGTTCAACTTCTGGCGCCACTTTACGTATCATAGCTGTATAATCCTCTAGCAGTGCAGTTGACAGTTCATAAATATCCTTCACACTCGTTGCATTATTTAAATTAATATTATTTGGATGCGTTTTTGTGGAAGTACCGGTACTACTTTTAGTTTTTGTCTTCATTGACATCAAACGTAAAAGTGGCTTCCATACCCTGCGTAATTTTCCCTTTGATTTTTCAGATGAATTAAATAAATTGGAATCTAATAACGTTGCATTCGATAAATTCTTTGTATCCGTAAACATTTTATTGCAATTAATTTTATTTTCTAATATTCATAAATAATACTATATATTTTTCTTTTGCCTTTCGTTTGTGTTCTCGCTGTGAAAGTTAGTTGTGAACTGATGCTGATTTGTCTGTATCCGTACGTTTTTATACAAACAGCCAAGTTTTAACGAACGAAACCAAACGAAGTGCACTTCCCAGGCACATTCCATCCAACAACAGGAATCCGTTGTGTACATTTCCCATCAAACTACTACGAACTGGCTGTATATTGTGGACTGGCATGTATGAATATACGCCAGTGTGCGGTATATGTGTATGCGTGCAAGTTTAGTTCATTGTATGCAACATCTTTAATGGTGAGTGATCGACCCAAAAGGGCAATTTTCGACAAGAACAAAATCAAAATGCAGGTAGCACACTCATTCGATCGTTTCGTCCGACAGCCCTACTATTTAAAGATTAACCAAAAAATTTCAACTGCGCAAATGCATAACGATGTAGCAGCAGTAAACTATAAGGTAGGCGCACATGATCCCAAAAAAAGTGTGGGAAACTAATTTTTAATTTTTTACATGGATCTTGCACATCACAAGTCGAGTTATTGAAGTGCGTTGAAAGGATAAATTTTAAAATTTTACTGGCAGTATTATACGACTTCGGTAATATGCTAAATATATATTATACTGCATAAGTATAAATTTAATCAACTTAAATAATGATATATATATATGTGTGTATCCAAACTATAGATAATAATTCCAATAATAGTTCATTTTTATAGCTGTTAAGAAATGTTAGCTATTTAGTTAGTTAGTTCTTTATTGAGATAGTACTATTGTTTCTTCATGTGACCATTTAATTTTCACTACTAGCTAAAAACTTACTGCGATGACTAATATAGTTCGCTGCCAGAAAACGTTAAATATTATATTACTACAATATTATGTTATTACAATATTTAATTTCTCCAAAAACCCAATTTACTAAAGTACTAGTAGGAAATAAGAAAATCTATTTTATGCATGATGTTTTACACATCCATTGTTTGTAACATTTCATACTACAGCTTTTTTTTTGCTTTTTATCTTTAACTTTATATTTGGAAATTAGATAACATAACCAATATTTTGTTATTTCAAATAAAGTATCAAAGATCTGTCTATAAGTAGTTCAAATATTGGATCATTCTTAAAAGAATTTCTATATTCGAAGCCCGCAAATTTTACATCCATTGTTTGTAACAAATAATGCTATGACTTTTTATTTGCTTTTTACATTGTAATATACTTGGAATTTATCCATCATAACCAATATTTATTTATTTCAAAACAAGTATCAAAGATCTGTCTATAAGTAATTCAAATATTGTATCAGTTCTTAAAAGAATTTCTATGTTCAATGTCTGCGGATTTATTGGCAATGAGTAGTTATTTACAACATGTTTGTCCTTAGTTGGTTTAGAACACCATCTGATACCGACTATGTAACATTTTATTTGATAGAAAAAAAGAGGAGCAGATCTGTTGAGAAAATAAATTGCATTAAAATCGTAGTCGTGGTAAATGTATCTCTTCAACGTAAAAATCAATGTCAAAAAGAGTTACGAATTGCGAATTTGTAGTGTTTGCATAATAAAAACACTGGGAATGACAGATATTTCTCTATTACAATAAAAACAAGCTGATTCTTGAATATACAATTAAATAATACATGTCTGATTCAATTATACTGGATTCGACAAAGAGTTTTAATTGTAATTTTACCTGTGATTATAAATTATTTTTGATTACGTTAGCAAAACAAGTTCGAATCAAGAAGATTTGAGAATTTTGACAGCTGAAAATAGAAATGAATTAAACTAGTGCTATTGTGAATAGTTTTGAGGAATGATTGAAATTTTCATACAAAGTGAAACAAAACTGTTATATTTCATATGCATACATCATATGTGTAAAGTGTTTATATCATATATATCATATATATATGTATATGTGTATATATCACATATGTAAAGTTAATATTTTGTAAAAGTAGTGTGAACATATGATAAATGTGATAATTGAATCACAATGATACGTCGTGTGAATCGATATTTTTGCTTTGTGATTTCAGATGTCAGTTTATAATTTTACACGACTAAAATTACAATCGAAACTCTCCTGTGAATCCAGTAAATAATGGATTTAAATATACTATTTTTCATAACTGTTACTCTAACAATTGAATAATTCAGTTTAGGTTCAAAATTCGTAAGTGTTACCAGATGATGAAAAATTTTGAAATAGTTAAAGTATACATATTTCATTATTTTCATTTAATGCAGAACGTAGCTCGAAACACAATCGTCCAAGAAAATGTGTTGGCAAGCATTAATACAGGGTGAGTGTGTCATAACCTCAAAAGGACAAGTGCACAATTTATAAACACTGTTGAACTCCAACCAATAATCCTAAGCAAAAATACCCATTATGCATTATCTATGGGCAATAAAATGTCCATTCACGTTTCGGTACGACAACAGGTGGGTGCATTTATAACAGGAAAGCACTGCCGCATATAACACAATTCTTGTATCTCAGAAGTACTTCTACGCTGTTCGGTTTTTTAAATATCAAGTTGCTAATTACTTAAAAGTAATAGGAAAAAAATTACCATGCAAAACAAAGGAAATGACTAAGTGTGAGAATAAAGCATGAAGCATGCTGTAGCATATCTAAGTAAGCACTTTTATTTACTCAGAAGAGTTTGTCGGTTTTTTGTATTTAGATACCAGAAATATCTGTGCAGCAACGGATACACTTAAGTAACAGCAAAAGCAGTGCTGGTTCACAAATTTAATAAAATCTTGCAGCTGCTGTTTTATGTATAAAAATTGAAAATCAAATTTACTTTATACAAATAAGAATTGTTTTCAATACGCTACTGGCTGATACTCACGTTGTCCAATCGGAAACAAAGAAATGCAATAAGACATATGAGCAGGTTGCTTGTGTCTTATCCGTGGGAAGAAGGATTTTTGGCAAGTTCCCACGCAAGGATTTTACAGCTGACGAAACCGAATGATCATACAGAAAACCAATGTTGAAATTAATTTTATATTTCAAATCAGGTTTCCTTTCTTTTTCCCCTATCTTGACTCAAAACAAAATATTAAAATATAATACGAACGCATCAGTCACTGGACATACGCACCAAGTTTCATATGAGACTTGTGTTTTGGTTGCGTTTAGGGTGCCGTGATTTATACACATGCGAGCATGTAACAAGTTCATCAGTGCGCAATCATCTTGTATCTTTAAGGATTTTGTGCCACTTTTAAATGCAGCAAGTATTTAAAAAGATTTCGAATGAGGATAAAGTGTAGCGCGCATTTCCCACGATACTTATACGACAGCATCTGAAGATATTACTTTGAAAACTGTTTTTATGTGGTTGCCCTCTTTCTCCACGTTGTTTGTTTTCTTTAAATATATTGCTACCGTTTTGATTGTGTACGGAAGAAGCGCTTTAAGTTGCCAAAACGAATATACTTTTTTGTTACTTTTGTAAATGTAATTAATAAATCTTTTTCATTACTATAACAATTAAATAATTCCAATTTTATATGAAATTATTTATTTAGTCGAACAAATATGCACAACTAATTTTTAAATATAATTAAAGTTACTGGTTTCTTAATTCTTGAATAAGGCTAAGGTAATAACCAAAACAAAACTTGCAAGTATAACTGAAACCAGTGGCGGATACAGAAGTCTATAGAATAAACAATAGACTTCAAACAATAATATTAACAACAAACAGAAAGTCATAGCTGCACATTCAAATTAAGCATATCCAAAAGAAAATTATTATTTGTTACTGACAATCCTATTATATTTATTTTTGGGTATCAATTTGAACAAAAATTGTGTAATTTCTTATTGCTTGCCGATAACCATTGCATTGAATATTACTCATTCCAGCTTTATTTGTAATTTTTTGTGTACAAATATTAAGTGTATCAATGTAGGGAATTTTGTGAAGTCCCAACGGAATTACAAAAACAGATTTATGTAATCAAAAACTATGTACTGTTTTAGGGTACTAGATGATACTGTTTTTGATTTGCTTTTAGTTATAATTATCAAACAGATCGAATCACGAACTAAGCCATGTGAACAATTTTAGACATTGTGTGTCCATTGCTGACTAATAGTAAAGAAATCTCTATCTTCCCAAAAAGCTCAATAACAAAAATTGAATGAAACCAATTTCCCAAGACGGATAATAGAAAAAGGAGAGTGTAACTCTATATACGAATAATATACGCAATAGAAGTATTAATAGCCTTCGTCCATACAATGGTAGAAAATACAAATCTAAAAATTTTGAACAGATCACATAGTAACATATTGATTAACTGTAAGTAACACAGATATCTATATGAGTAGACACATATTTTCTTTATTTTTTAATATCCTTTCTTTTTTTCGTTTTCTCTTTAATTTAGTTAAAAGCATAAAACAAGAAATTTAAAGCGTATTAAAGAAATTTAATATTTAAAACATCTTAAAATTAAACAAAATTGATATTGAGAATATATTTTTTTTTAATTGGCGCTATAACACCACTCAAAAGCTGAGAATATTGAATACAAATGAAGAAAATTAATCATTAGGATATTCCGATAAAAATATACTCAAAATATGTAAATGAATGGCTAATTATATTTCATTTTTAATTAATCTCCAATTTCAGCCGCATACATCTGTACAACATAAATTTATTCCAATCTTGAAAACCTTGATTGGTATAAATTTCGTTATAAAAATTAACACTATCTGTGGATGCATATTTCTGTGAACTAGTTTGGATAGTGGAGAATGTATACAACAAATTGTGAGGAGTCATATTTCGGTTGTGAGATGAAATTATCGGGCCAAATATTTGCAGACGTTAGTAACTTAATTGTAAAAAATAAAAATCCATCAAATCCGTCAGTTAATTGTAAAAAAAATGTTTCTAATTTTCCGATAATCTGAATTACCTCATAATTCTTAAAATACCCAAGGATCATATACATGCACTTCATAAATAATCAAAACATACAAAAGCGTATGT